AAAAAAAAGATTGTTAGCCTTCTATATCACTCCATCCCATTAGGAGTAAACAATTCTGGATTTTTTTTCGCTTTTCTCTGATAAGCTTAGTTGAAATCAGCAGCATTTTTTGAACAGTAAGGGTAGTTTTCTAATTCACTTTTCTTTTCAAATATCATTTGCACAAGGGAAGACTGGAAAATTCGAAGGTAAGATGATAATACAACTGTGTAGCTCAAGATTACAATATCAAATTGCTAATGACTTCAAAATTTAGTATTTTAGCCGTCTCTTCCTCCAACCTTCATCCCACGATTTCATGATGAAGTCGCTGTTCGACGGATGCAGTATCGAAGGCTAGGGCAAACCGATATGATCGTCTCAAAGATTAGCTTTGGTCAGTATGAACAAGTTATGCTGCTTTATTTTCATTATTTTTTCTTTTCCAATCGATCACATTGCAAAGGCTTTGTCTATCTAGCACTTTAGGATCTGCACCTATCGGTGGCATGTTTGGAAATGTCGAAGATTCTATAACGCAAATAGTTGAAACCGCTTTGCGAAACGGTATCAACCTTATCGATACAGCGTATTGGTACGGACGTGATCGTAGCGAATCAATCCTTGGAAAGGTTAGAGCTGTGGCGTTTCTTTAAGACAGTGTCCACAAATCTGGGACTGGGTTTCTTATATGAAAACTAATTAATAGGCTTTAACTAAGCCACTGACCAAAGCAGCAGCTTATATGACCCATTGGTAGCCGAAACGTCTGAACTCCGACCCAAACCGTGCTTTTAAGAGTGCTTTAGGACTGGTGTAACGATTGGGCCGGAGTTTACAGTGGATTTTCTCGCTGCTAATGGAACATGTGAGCCATTTGAGCACTGGCTTAGCTGAAGCCTCTTGATCTATTTATTAGGTTGTCCCAAAAGTAAACCCTTTTCAAAAAATCAGCCGTTTTCATTTTCCAGGAGACGTATTGCAGAGTATCATTCAATATGTAGAGCAAAGCAAGTGCAAAAAATGATCGCCAAAAATCCACTTAGATCGTAATCCGAAGCTTGAAGCCAAAAACTAAGGTTTTTCATCTACGCTAAAAATTGATTTCCTTTTAGAAAATTACGGAGTCTCAACTTGGTCGATATACATTATGCACATATTCGATCAAAAGTAGAGAAAAAATGTCCAAAAGGCATATTGGATCCTCATCTCCTCCCACATAGGTGATTGTATACTGAAAGCCTCAGTGTAACCTTAAAAATCATAGTTCTGTATTTGCCCTGATATCGAGAAATACAAAGTTATATAAATTTCAAAAAAGTGCTTTTTTACATTCTCGGGCTAATTTTATTTCTTAAGGTTATGAAAATCCAGCAAATGCATTTTTGAACACTACTATTTATATGTCCACTGTTTGGCTACTAATTCAGAAGTCAGCCTGATTTTCTGGAAGGAGAAACGATTTTTAGGCATGTAGCTGGAAAATTTATTTTTGGCTTCGAATTTTACCTGGATTACGACTCAGGTGGATCTTTAGCAGTCATTTTGTAGAGCTTGCCTCGTTCTATTGAAGTGCAATAACTTTGATAGAACAAATTAGCTTGATTTATTTTAGAAAAAGGTTTTACATTTTGGGATAACTTAATAATGCATAAATAGCCCAGAATCTCAGGTTTGCTTTGGTAACTTTTTGACATGTGCTTTCCATACGTTATCATTTAGATCCTGACGAAAGTTCCACGGAAAGCTTACTACATTTGCACAAAGGTAAGGACATAGTAGCACACCTACTCCAAAATTCCGCCTTTCATTTTTCGGTGGGACGCTTCGAACTAGATTTTGCAAGGAATTTTGACTATCGAGCTGACGAGGTCTTGGAGTCACTGGTGAACAGTCTGAAGCGACTTCGATTGACATACATAGATGTGTGCTTCATTCAAGTAAGCGGTCCATTATGCCCTTTCTAGTGATTGCTGAGGTTTTTGACAGATTCACGACGCTGATTTCGAATCGCAGCGAAATATAATTTTGTACGAGACTTTGCAAGCCCTCGAAATGGCTCGAAGTTCTGGCAAGATACGGTATATCGGTCTTGCTGGATATGGATTAAGAAGGCTAGCGTAAGTTAAAGCTTGCTCAAGTTTTTATGAACATAGTTCTGACGGTTGACATGTGCTTCTGCGGTGTCTGCAATACTTAGTCGTAAAAAATGACGATAGAGCGCGCATTCGCAAGTTCTGCGTTCTATGGCCGTTTTCCGCGAGAAAATGTTGTCGACACCGTAGGAACACTATACTGAGCGTCAACACAATTTTGAATCAAATTCACGAAATTATTGTGCCTACTGTCGAACCAGATTCCTTTGAAAAATTATGGAGTTGTAATACAATGTGCGCAAGTTATAATTGGAATGGAGGCTCCGATTCATAATTAGTAAAAAAACATATTAACCGTTATTTGTGTTTCGGGACAAACATTGACTTACAGCATATGAACTGCCTCAAATTTCGTTCTCAATTTGATGCTAGAATACTACTAATACAATAATTAATTCTGTTTTCAGTTCACTTATTGATTGCTCTTCTGTCAGAATTGATGTTGTGCAAACCTATAGTCACGGTTCTATGAATGATAACTCAGTTGGCGAATTCACTTTTATGCTTCAAGTGAGTTCCACCTGTCATTTGGTCTTTTATAAATTTATCTTTTCCAGAATATTATTCAATGTTTTCTGGTCACTTGTGAATTTACTGAAATAATGTCGATTTTAGAATAAGGGTATTGGTATTCTTAATGGATCTCCTCTATCAATGGGCCTTTTGACGGATCAAGGCCCACCTCCATGGCATCCAGCCCCAGATTTTATCAAAGAAACTTGTCTGGCTGCTACCCACTATTGCATGGTATGCATTGTTAGCAAATTCACCCTAACATACTTAAAAATTTCTCCAAACTTTCTTCTGTATCATTCTGAACAATGCGACTGAATGAATTCTCATATCCAGTGAAATTCTCTTTCCAGTCAAAAAACATGTCGATCTCAAAGCTAGCTCTGGCGTACGCCTTCCAAGTGCCAGGGATGAGTTCTTGTATAGTTGGTATGGATAGCGTACAGCAGGTTGGTGTTCGCGAAATTGAACTGGAAAAATAGCGGAAAAATAGCTACTCGATACGAAAATCAACGTTGACCTTCTAATCCGATCATGGATAGTCAAAAGTTATAAACTGCAATTGCAAAATTAGAGAATATGCGATTATTAACATTATCCTCCTCCTACACATTGACTCTTCCTTCTGTTTTTTGCCTATTGGAGCTGGAGCTTATGCGCCAGCGAATATTTGAATTCACAGCTGTGAAACCTTATTTGCGCAGTATCTCTAAAGTACGATTCGTGCTAAGGCCCAAGACAGAGTTCACGCGATTTGATCGT